GGGTTGTCACTGGGTGCTTCTAAAAATCCCTTTTGCTGTATCCCTCCGCGGTGCAGGAATTGCTGCAGCTTTGTTTTCTGCTTGTACCCATAAATCCTGGTACCTCAGGTACCATGTTGAAGAGAAACTCCTTGGGAGAAACACTGCGAGGCTCTGAACCATCTGCCTAAACACATAACACATACAGTTCCCGGTTCTGCACTCTGCTGGGACCTCTTCCTTGCTGGGCTTTCCTCTGGGATGGGGACATAGTTGCCTCTGTCTCCAACCTCACCCTCAAGGACATAGCCCATTCTCTGAGAGATCAATGATAGCTGCACTTTCTTTTTTCTCTCATTCTTTCCCCAACACAGGGACTATATTCTGTTCTCCGGTATGTGTGTGTGTGTGTGTGTGTGTGTGTGTGTGTGTGTAGGGAAGAAAAAGGTCCTGACTGATACGCTTTTAAACCTCAATTCCTCCTTTAGGGCCTGAGATTTTAAAACTGAAAACTTGTACAGAAGTTCAACTCTTTTGTTGCCTGCATTCCACTGGGTCACATTCCTGCCTTGAGGCAGTAGAGACAAAATGTTAGCTGCTCCAAGAGGATGAGGAAGGTAGGAATAACAAGAACTACAAGGTAAATCTGTTAGTTTTCAAAATAGCATCCTGCCCCAAATGTTTTGAAATCACCCAGAACCATAACGTCCCTCTTTTCTTGATCACCTTTCTGTTTCCCTGATCATAACCCCCATCTCCCACCCTCTATGCTCTCCTCTCCAGTTCCCTGGAAGTTACTCTGGTTTGTGTTGGCGCAACTTGTGCACATTTTCACTATGATACCATGTTCTAATGGCTAGAGTCTTCACAGGAGACTGTGAGAAACTTGAAAACAAATGTTCTATTCTACTCTGTATTTTCAGCCTCTAGGACAGAGCCTGGCATATAGAAAGGGTCCAATAAACTGAAGAGAGACTGATATCTAGATTTTAAAAATTGGTTGTCCAAGCTAAGTACTAAAGACACTAGCTAACACTCACACAGCACTAACTATGCCCCTATTTGCTCTTAACAGATTAGATAACATTAATTCTTTAGTTCTGACAGTAATTATGAGAGTAGGTACCTATTAGTAGCCTCGTTTTACAAACGGGGAAATGGAGGCACAGAGAGGTTCAGTAGCAAGTGGGAAAAGCCATGATTTGAACCAGGTAATTTGACTTTAGAGTCTATACTCTTAGTCACTACTCCATGCTACCTGTCACATATTGACTTGGATTTTGTAAGGACACAGCACGCTCCTTGTGTAAAGGATTCTGATACATTTTAAAAATTACATTGCTCTAAAATGCTTCCAATGAGGCATAGAAGGAAGAAAATACAGGAAAATGGGATTATACTATTTTACTTATCATTAACAAGGTTATTTATTGACACATTTATCTTGAAAGCAGCAGGTGACAGAAAGTCAAATTCTTAGCACTGTCACAGTAGGGTCAGGGGGTTCCTGGGTGTGCTAAAGGGTCATACTCTGTCCTAGACATTGAAGAGAATATGCCCTCCAAGAAGGAAAAGGAAAAGGGAACTGCAAAGCCAGAAAAAATTATTCCTATTTTCAAAGCATCTGAAAAGAAGAGAGCAGGAGAATGGGCTAGGAACCTTCCAGTGCTGATCTTTCCAGAGGAGAAAAATAGAGTAATTCAGAGTTTCATTTATTTTTCTAGAACCACCAAACTTAAGTCTAATGAGATAGCCATGGAGGTGGCATTTAAATTGGTTATTTTTTATTTTTTATTTTTTTTTCAACGTTTATTTATTTTTGGGACAGAGAGAGACAGAGCATGAACGGGGGAGGGGCAGAGAGAGAGAGACACAGAATCGGAAGCAGGCTCCAGGCTCTGAGCCATCAGCCCAGAGCCTGACGCGGGGCTCGAACTCACGGACCGTGAGATCATGACCTGGCCGAAGTCGGACGCTTAACCGACTGCGCCACCGAGGCGCCCCTTAAATTGGTTATTGAAACAGCCTTAGACATTTCTTTTCGTAGGAATTTGTCTTCATCTTTCAAAAGTTTAAATATAAAAATTTTACATTTATTATTAATTATGAGTAAGTATGAGAGATTTGGACAATTTTTCTGGGCAATAATCTGAAAAAGTTTTTCATTGCTTTATTACTTAGTATAACACTGAAAATCAAATAGATTTTTGTGAGCTACCTTCACTATAAACTATGATACCGATTATAATTTCACTTTTGTGAAAATTCTGATACCTACCTAGTTTTCTTTATTGTTCTATATTAAATATATCTACTTGAAACTAATGTGATACAGTGGAAATGTGATCTTATTCAAATAAAAAGAGTTATTTATAAATTACCATGGAAGAAGCAAGCCAGATTGAAGCACTGAGTATTGAGGGAAAATAAAATATAAATCAAAAGTAATAGGTCCTTTGGCCCATTTTGGACAAAGAACACACACACATTCATTTACTCATTTATTTAAAAAGTGTTGAGTACCTATTATATACAAGGCAAAAGTTGGTATGTTAACAATGTCTATTAGAATATGATAATAAATGACTCTAAACATGACCAGTCCATCAATTCATTTATGGCCTAATGGCTGGTTAAGTTAAACAATGGGTGCTGTCCATTAAATAGGCTCTTAAGACACCCAGAATCCTGGTAAATAATATGCACTGTAGTTTTTTATAGTTATACTTTTGTTTCCAAGGCTAATAAATAATACCACCCCATTGAAGTGTTAAGAACCCCAGCTAGTCACAACTATGGGTGGAGAAGGTGGTACTGTAAGCCAGATCTAATTTTTCATCTGATTATTGGTGAACATTTGACATGGTATATAACTACATTAAGTATCTAGCAGATATGCATATCAAAATGCCATATTAAATACATATGTAACTGTTAATAATAAAAGGAATAAAAGAGTATTAATGTGGAAATTTCATTAAGGAAATGTTAATAGCCCACATTATCTGTATATAGCCTTCCTACTACTTATTAAACTGAAATATTCATTTCTGTTTCATGTGTATATTTTACAATATGGGAAATTTCATGTAAAATGGAATAATTCATTTTGTGATGAAATTTGGAACTGCAGCAGAATTCCTGCTTTATTCTATTTTATTTCAAAAAACTTTTAATCCATGAGTAATGGCAAAATTTAAAACATGGAACTAGGCAAACACATGAAATCACAATTCATTACTGTTACATTTATTTTAAGCTCTTCTACAGTATAACTATAAAACCCCTTTATTATAGAATGCCTTAGTAGTGTCTTCTGTTAATTGAATTTAGTCTAGAAAATTTAGATTTTCATTGATTATTGTTCTTCTTTTCTGTACAAGATTGAAGATAAAGGTCAAATAACTTTAAGAATTATCATTAGGTAAAAATATCTTGTGTGCTCTCCATGAAAAATCTTGAGCAATTTCTTCTCAATTAAAAATAATAGTAATATTACCCATGGGATTATAATACAACAGAGACTTTTTGAAAGTAATTGAAATGTGTTAAGAAGAGGACAATATTTTCATGCTAACCTTAGTATCAGGAGTCCATATATTATTAAAATAATTTTTTTCATAGACGATGACCTACATCTTTATTTGCCTAGAAGTTTGACAATTGTTAACAATAGAAAGGTCAGTACAGTGTGGTACGAATCAGGTTTCTTGACACGTTCAGGTTTAAATGGACCAAACTTTCATTCAATTAGCCCCTGGCCTTTGCAGCCAGGAACCTCGTTTTCAGTGTCTTAACTAAAGGACAATGAAGGTACAGAACAAGCTATAAAAAAAGGAGGCATCTTAAAAGCAAAAGTCTTCTCTGATCATTCTGGTTTTGTTTTCTTTATTGAACACAGACCCGAATGCTTCTGTGCCTCTAAAGGTTTAGAACACAGCCATCAGGCATGTAGAAGAAGCACAAAGGTAGAAAAAAACGGTTCATATTTTAACCATACAATCATTGACCACCAGCACTTCAAGGAGCCTCCACTAGTCCCTTGGGCTCCTCTCCTCTCTCTGAGGGGCAAGGATTCCTGGAAACATCACTGTTCTTATTTCCATGCTTTTCCAGGCAACACAATACCACTGCTTCTCCTTCAGGAGCCAAAAGCAGCAAAGCTACCCTTTCCTTTAGCCATCCTGCCAAGAGCCACTAAGTGCAGTCTACTTCCTTGAACTCTTAGGCTGGGGATGCAAAGAAAATGAATGGAAGAGTTCATCTCTTATCTCTTCAATATTATGCTGTGTCTTCTTAGTTATGGAGTCAGGGTAGATCTTAGGGTGGGGTGGGAATGGTCATACATAAAGAGGGCAGAGTTTTCTGGAATTTTGAAATACCACCAAGGCACTGGTAGTTAAGTGGGCTTAACCAAAATATAAGTGGGGTGACCAAAATTTTAGAATTTCTGTCAATTCACAGGACAAAGATTCATGACTGCCCTTTTCAGTTCCCAAAGCATTTATTGATGGATTGATTGCCAGACTGGTCTATTTAATGGAAAGAGGCACTCTTCTGTTACCAGGGAATTAAGTGAAGAAAGACTGGAGCTGTAAGCACTGGTGATGGATTCCAGTTGGTCATGCTTTCTAATCCCTAACTACATAGTTGGATAAGAAAGTGCATCCGTTAGATGTGAAAAAGCATGTGCTGCCTCTCCAGAGTCCAGAAGTGCTTAAAAACTGTGATGTATATAATCCAGAACAATAAATTACGTGCACAAAAAGTTTATCATAACATAAAATTAAAAAGTGACAATTTCATCACACGGTTACACTGCTGTTTTCCTTTTTTTTTTCTTTTTTTTTGGGGGGGTTGTCCTTTTTGTTTCATTTTTCATTTCCATTTTTATTTTTTTTATGGAGGGTTGGGGGAGGGTAGAGATTTGGTCCACTGAAGATTAATCACCCTCAATGATATATATATTAGAAAAAATATCAGCAGCAAGACTCTCTAGAAATAGATTCTGTTTGATGTAGCTAGTCTGTCTTTTCTGTTTTGCCCTCTTTCACGGCAGCCTCTGAAGTTTTCCGCAGGGGGGCTTTCTCCGAGTTGGCATGTCCTTGGCCAGAATCCGCCGCTCCGCCATTTTTGTGGGTAGTGTGTTTTTCCAAGTAGTTCAGCATTTCACTGAGGACTGTTTGGAAAGTGCTTAGGGCTGCACATATTGCTGGAGTCCCAAAGCCATGAGTGATCAAACTGGAAATGAGAAGTGGTAGGAAAAAAAGAAATGAACAACTTACAGTATGATACAGAACAACCACTTAACCCAGAACGTTCAATTAAACAGGCATTTATTGTGGTCCTAAATAGTGTCAACCATAATGAAAGGCAGAACACAAGTCAATGTATTGCTTTTGACCATAAGAAATTCAGGATGCATCTAGAAGATTTGTCATTGATAGACTTGATATACATTAATGATTAGCAAGTCTAGGTGTTTACTACATGATTTAGCTCTGATTCTCTATCTCATTAAGAAATGAGTGCTTGGGTGGCTCAGTCAGCTAAGCATCTGATTCTTGATTTCATCTCAGGTCATGGTCTCACAATTTGTGACTTCAGGCCCACAACTGGCTCCACGCTGACAGCATGAAGCCTGCTTGGGATTCTCTCTCTGCTCCTTTCCCTCTCTCTCTCTCTCTCTCTCTCTCTCTCAAAAGTAAATACATAAAGATTTTTTTAAAAAAAGGAAAAAGTTGGGGCACTTGGGTGGCTCAGCCGGTTAAGTGTCCGACTTTGGCTCAGGTCATGATCTCACGGTCCGTGAGTTCGAGCCCCGCGTCGGGCTCTGTGCTGACAGCTCAGAGCCTGGAGCCTGCTTCAGATTCTGTGTCTCCCTCTCTCTCTGACCCTCCCCCATTCATGCTCTGTTTCTCTCTGTCTCAAAAATAAATAAACATTAAAAAAATTTTTTTAAAAAGGAAAAAGTCTTAAGACTTCATTTATTTAGAAGATAAGAATAGTCAGTGCTTAGACAACTATGCACACCAAAATTTGAAATATAAGATATCATTATAGTTCAAACATCTGCATATCTTTGCTATAATATCTTGCATTGCTGAGTGGGAAAACTGACTTCAGGTCCATTTCTCAATGAGATAGCTAGAAAGGAATCCATATGCTTTAAGGTCTATCAGGGAGTCTGGACAATAAATGGAATTGATTGGAGCAGTAGAAGAATTAATCATGGCTGCATCCACAAAAATAACTGAGTGAAGATATCCATTAATGTCTAAATGTTTGGCTCTGATTACAAACTGCCTCTCTTCTCATGCTTTCTTCCTGTTTAGAGCTCTTTGTACCACTGGATGAATTTTATTTTCCTCTATAGTGCCATGTTCTCTTGGTTGTAACTGCCCTCTTTATCTATGGAAGAGTATGCAGAACTTAGTTTCACTAGGTTAAATATTAAATTTAATAGCCAATATTTGAGTTCTGAATCTATACCAGGCCATGTTCTATGTGCTTCATTCTGTATCACTGTATATAATTCTGGAAACAACACTAAAAATGAGGTATTATTATTTCCATTTTACAGATGAAGTAATGCCCAGAGAAGTTAGGTAATTTGCCTGACAAATCTAACATTCTGTACTGCCTCTGTGCTTATGTTCTTCCCAGGATGTGGGTATGTGTTACTCTTTTGTTTGTTTGTTTGTTTGTTTTTGTTTTTGTCGTCGTCGTTTTTTTGTTTTTTGGGTTTTTTTTTTTTTTTGAGAAATCACATTCTATTGGCAGTTTTAGCTTAGTTTCTCAAACTTTGAGTTCAAACATCTGCATATCTTTGCTATAGTATCTTGCATTGCTGAGTGGGAAAACTGACTTCAGCTCCATATCTCAATGAGAAAACTGGAAAGGAATCCATATGCTTTAAGATCTATCAGCGAGTCTGATAGATCTTATCAGACTTGTAGTCCTGGAAGATGATCATTCTTCTTACTCACTTGTTCTGTCTAAGATCAAGGTTTTTAAAACTCAAGAACAAAGTGGACAGGCCTATATAAATGTGGAGAAGAGTTGTCACCATGATGAACAGTTTTTAAGCTGGTCTCCTTTCTTGGCAGATGGCCTTTCTTGCTTCTATAGTATGCAACTGATCATTAGCAGGATGCATTGTCACCTTTGTCCTGCACTGAGACCCAAATGTGCCAAGTCTTCACTCGGGCTCTGACTTTAGGCACTTTGTGATCTGGAGGAAGTTTTTTAGTTTTGTAAGATGATAACAGTCTTACTAAAACATCTGCAAGGTTCTTTCCAACCCTAAGCCTCAGTCCACAGGTACTAAAGCTTAGGATGCTCTCCTTTAAACCCAGGATATGGACAGAAGGTTATGGAAATTGGAGCTCAATAGAAGAGCCTAAAATTGATTGTAGAATCTTCAACATGAGAAAAGGTATTTCTTGTGTTGTATACCCAGAACTAATATAACATGGTATGTTAATTAGACTTTAATAAAAATAAATAAATAAAACTTAAAGAAAAGTAACTGTTTATAATGTTATCTTTCAACATGGAAAAATATGTTATGTAAATTGTGTTCATTCCTTCATTTAATATTACCTGCACATTAAAAAACACACAGGGCAGACTGCATAGGATGATAATAAGTACAAAAGATGGCTTCTGTTCTAGCAGTTTTCAGTGAGGTTTATAAATCCAAATATTTCAAGTAATGTAATGTTGTATTAGAATAGCACACAAAAAAAGTGTGAAATCACAGGATGATTAAAAGAAATTTCTGGAAACATCATGCTATTCTGTTAGCACCAACCACTCCGGAAAAAATAGGTTTATATTTCAATCATAGTGACATACAAAAAAAGAGAAGAGGAATAATGTAGAATCTACAGAAAAATAAAAGTAAAAACAGAAAGGATAAAGCTGACTTTCAGTCCTAGACAGAAAACAAACTAAGGTGATCTGTTAGTCAAATCCCCAAAATCTTTTACAACAGAGATCAATTTTTGCCTTTGGAAAATAACATTTTCAGCCACAGGCTTAATATTAAAGTTATACTTGGCATTTGCATATATTTTCATCAGATTAATCTCAGAGAGCATTTCACAAACAAATATTACTACCTGAGTTAAACAGTTGCCATGACGGTTTGAAGTAGATAGTCAAAATGTAAAAGTTCTAATTCAAATTCATCGAAAAGTTTCTCCTCCCGAACCAGACAAGTGAAAGAGACAACTAGCACTGTGCTCAATGTGTCATCTTCATGCCACATTTTCAACATTTTTGCTGAAGGTGGCAGACGATACAAACACCGCATCAGATTTCATATCATATTTGCATTTCTCAGGCCTCCTTCCTCCACCCTTTGTGATCATGTATTCTAGTTCTTTATTTTGAAAGGCTTATCTCAGGCTCTAAGCTTTTCTATCCCCAAACCTGTGATGGCCATTCCTACTTGGGCACCTTTGTTTGCCCTCCTTCTTCTCCTCAGCTGATCCAAAGTCCACCCACCCATCAAAGCTCCTTGGATGATGTTGAAAAACATGTGCCAGTTTCCTGGTCCCATGATTAAGAAATAGAAGGTGTGCTCCTGCCAAAGAGTAGACACTCGCCAAAGTTATGAGAGGACTTAAAAAGAATTTTGAGGAGAAAGGAGTAACATACCCTCCAAAATTGTAACACTAGAGCCTGGCAAGACCATGGGACGACAACAGACAGATGAGGGTAAGATCTCAGTCACCAAAGTAAGGAGGAGGACTGAGAGCTATATGGGTGACCTCAGAGCCCAAGTGATAATCAAAGTACACCAGATCTTTCTTTTTTTTTAAGCTTATTTATTTTGAGAGAGAGAGAGAGAGAGCACACAAGCAGGGGAGGGACAGAGAGAGAGGGAGATAGAATCCCACTCAGTCTCTGCACTGAGCCGGATGTGGGACTCAATCCCAAGACTGTGAGATCATGACCTGAGCTGAGATCCAGAGTTGGATGCTTAACCAGATGAGCCACACAGGCACCCCAAAGTACGCTAGATCTTAATGTAGTGGCAAATAAGATGTTATCTGTATCTCTAAAACTTTGCGGTTTGAGTTCTTACTATAAATCGGTAATCAAAAGTTATAGTCTAATCTTAAAAAAAAAAATGAAGAGTTGTCAAGATAAAAATAAACCACAAACGAACAGCAACAATGAAAACAAACAGGGCTGAGATGCGACACTATCATCAACCCGTATTCTTCCTGACATTGCCCACTGTCAGCACAGTGGCTTCTGGTGACCTCCTGAGGCAGCAGCCCCTGGGAAGAGAAGGGGCTGGGTACCTCAGTGTCCAGAATGATTGACTTAACAGAAGGCTAAAGTTCCCTGATTTCATTTGGGAGTCTCTGAAGCCCAGAGTAGTAGGATGTAGTTTAAATTTCTGTTCCAAGACCGAGGAAGAGGAACACTGCAGAAAAGGGCCCAAGGTTTGGAGGGAACACAGTGCTATGTTAGCATATGAAAGATTAAATGGTAAGTAAGATACTTTGCTTTCTTTTCAGAGAGTTTAATCTTTAAAACTGGCAATGGTATAAGGAATGGAGTTGAGACTTTTCTTTTTTTTAAGTATAGGAAACTATTTCAGGATAAAGAAAACACGCATGTGTTTTTGAGACACTGGAGTTGTTAGGTAATCTTTGAAAATTCCTGGAAGATTGGAGAGGAAGCATGAAATAGAACAGAGTAACCCGCCTTAATAATCAGAGCAAGGGATGGGGTGCCTTGGTGGCGCAGTCAGTTAGCCTATGACTCTTGATCTTGGCTCAGGTCACGATCTCACGTTCCTGAGTTTGGGCCCTGCATTGGCCATGGCACTGATGGTGTGGAGCCTGCTTGGGATTCTGTCTATCCTTCTCTCTGCCCCTCCCCAACTTGTTCTCTCTCTCTCTCTCTCTCAAAATAAATAAACTTAAAAAAATTTTTTTTAAGTAATCAAAGAAGGGAAAAAGAGACAGAGTTCAGAAACTCTAGCATATTTAATTACATTTAACTCATCCTTTAACAAGGTTCTTGTAATGGGACATTTTTTAAATCAGGTACATTGAGGTTAAATTTACGTAGGGGAATATTTATCCTTTTCGGGTATATGGTCTGTTGAATTTTGATGAACTCATACACTTGTGTAATCACTACAGTTACCCAAAATGTGTTCTCATGTTCCTTTTCAGTCAATATTCCCCTCTTCCCCTCCAGCTCCTGGGAAT